AGGGCGCCTAAGAAAGCAGCTGTCGACAGATCCTTGGCGAGCTCCAGCCATACGGTCTTAGTTGTGAAGCAAACGAACATGCAGATGTAGCATTTGAATGATGCTCTATTTTGTCCATCGGGCTTGTAGTAAAAAGGACCACACTAGTCCACTACAGTGATTGGGGATTTGCAGCAAATTATACATTTTCTCAATGCTCGGGCGACAGTTTTCATGCCGCGTATGGGCCAAACCTCCAAGCAAAGCCTGCGGTACAGCATGATGATGCTTTTGATAAAGATGGAAGATTATAGCGAAGGTTAAGGGATGGTTTTTGGGAAAGATGCTTGGGTGGCGAGCATCGAAGTCGAGAGTAGAATATCCTAAACGACCACCACCTCTTAGTAAACAACGGAAATAGCGAAGGAATGGCGCTTGACGAGTGTATATTCTTTCCATTCTGTAGGGTTGATTATTCCGGTTGCAACTGAGCTCTTTGAACAAGACGACATAATAGGAACGATCCTTTACAAATATCGTCTGATGATAACGGAGATAATAACAAAACTCGTTGACGCATTTCAAGCAGACATGCTCAAGAAGGTCCATGCATCCATAATTTTGAGTGCAAGAGCTCTAACGGTGCTGCTCTTTGGATGACATATCCGCATGATTCATTTCAGTTGGCACGTAATGCCACTCCATGCCGATAGTGAGCTGCTGTTGGGCACAAATCTTGTTAGCGACAAACACATTGAATTTGGATGGTTCTTCCTTTAGCCAAGACAAGACCACCGCTGAGTCTGACCAACAATTCCTAGTTATTTCGCTTATCAAGTTCGCAAGCAGAAATGCAGCGCATAACTCAAGCTTAGACACAGTGAGGGTCTTTAGTGGGGCGACTCTAACCTTTAACAGCATTGTTCTTCGATGACCGCACATAAGCACAAGAGCCATAGGCCTGAAGACTAGCATCGCAGAAGGTATGTAGTTCGACTCTTGCTTTAAGTTGGAGTACCTAACGAGGAAATGTTGGATTGCTCACTTGATGAGTACATAACGAGGAAATGTTGCATTGCTCACTTGATGAAAGTCCTTACAAAAT